TGATTGTATTATTCTTTAGAACTTTACTTTTCAGCTTATTTGTTGCTTTAACGGAAAAGAGATATCTTGTGCTGCGTGGCCTTGGCATGAGCTGAAAACCGTGGTAAGGGTCCACACTCTTTCCAACATCCATAGCACAGCATAAAGGAAAATCAAAGTGTCTCCGTTAAGTTGAGGACAAGCAATATTGTACGGCGCTTTGACTAAAGCGGGATCCAACCTAGAGAGTAATAGCGACGAATTATGGCATGTCGCAGTTTGAAAGCTTATCAAAAAATGATGCCTTTAAAAATAGTGTTCTCTGGAAAGAATTTCTTTTTTCGACATGACCGAGTATTTTGAAGTCAATGATTAAGACAATTAACGTTTTGGAAAGTAACATTTTACCACCAGTTTTTAGCTTTCTGTTATCTTTAACAGAAAGACTGTTGATTACATGGTTGAGAATAAACATTAAAAATTCTTAATACACAAAGACAGTTTCCTTCGGAGAAGAATACGAACGGTCAAAGATGATAACTAGTGGTAAATGGAATAGTCGGTTGAATGCTGTTCTTCTATTCTACTCAAACTGCTTAAACGAGTCAAACGTCTGAACTCCTCCATTTTCTGAAAAACCGTGTTGCAAAAAGCATTTCTCTTTTGTATACGTTTGGTGAATTCTTAGCGAAATCTATGAAAATAACCCATTTAAATTTGTTACTAATAACGGAAAAGGCTTTTCAATGGACGTGGTTAGTAGAACCTCGTTTATGATCCTCCTTCACCATTCATTGAATTATTCTGTGTAAATCAATCCATATTTTAGTTTATTTGTTATTAAAAGGTAAAAGAAGTTGAACTTGCTTTGATGCGTGTACTTTTTTTCCGCATATAACGTTGACGTGGGTGTGTGGACATTCTTTCCAGGATAAAAAACTGTGAAAAGAAATCTACTGATAAAAAGAAAAACTAACGATTTCCACTCTAATCACCACCGATGTTTACCTTTCTGTATAAGCTTGGAGTAAATTTAAATGAAAGCTTTATACACCAAGAAGGGCGGCTTCGGGAAAGAATAAGGCCCAAAGATGATACTAGGTGGTAGAAAAGAATAGTGACTGTCTTTTGAACGTTGTGCTTCCTTTGACAACAACGATTTAAACGTTCGAGCTGCTTACAAAGCTATCTTCTCGATTTTCCTAAAAAACATATTTCGACGAGAATTGACCTAATTCAGGCATTCAAATGTAGCAATTTTTTAGGCTAAACTGCAAAAGATCAATTTCCTTTAAAACTCCTTTTTAATTAATGGGAAAGGCTTTTCGTTGCGCGCGGTACGTAGAGTCACCTTTTTTTACCCTATTTTACCATTCATCAAATTATTCTAAAATTTTTACCATTCATTGTATATTCTTTAGAACTTTGGTTTTGAGCTTATTTGTTGCTATAACGGAAGAGATATCTTGGGCATGCGTGACCTTGGCATCAGCTGAAAACCGTGGTAAACGGGTCCACACTCTTTTCAACATCAATAGCACAGACTAGCACTGCATAAAGGGAAATCAAAGTGTGTCCATCAAGTTAAGGACAGCAATATTGTACGCCGCTTTGACTAAAGGGGGATCCAACCTAGAGAGTACTAGCGACGAATTATAGCATGTCGCAGTTTGAAAGTATCAAAAAATGATGCCTTTGAATATAGTGTTCTCTGGAAAAAATTTCTTTTTTCGACATGACCGAGTATTTTGAAGTCAATGATTAAGAAAATTAATAGTTTGGAAAGTAACCTATTCACCACCAGTTTTTAGTTTTCTGTTATCTTTAACAGAAAGACTGTTGATTGCATGGTTGATGAGAATAAACCAAAATTCGTGATACACAAAGACGGTTTCCTTCAGAGAAGAATACGAACGGTCAAAGATGATAACTAGTGGTTAAATAGAACATTCGGGTAAATGCTGTTTTTCTATTCTACTCAAACCGTTTCAACTAGTCAAACATCTGAACTACTCCATTTTCTGAAAAACAGTGTTGGGAGAAGCATTTCTCTCTTGTATACGTTTGGTGAATTCTTAGCGAAATCTTTGAAAATAACCCATTTACATTTGTTACTGATAACGGAAAAGGCTTCTTAATGGACGTGGTTAGTAGAACCTCCTTTATGATCCTCCTTCACCTTTCATTGAATTATTCTGTGTGAATCAATCCATATCTTAGTTTATTTGTTATTAGAAGGTAAAAGAAGTTGAACTTGCTTTGATGCGTGTACTTTTTATCCGCATATATAACGGTGACGTGGGTGCGAGGACATTCTTTCCAAGACTGGAAACTGTGAAAAGAAATCTACCGATAAAAAGAAAAACTAACGATTTTGACACCTAATCACCACCGATGTTTACCTTTCTGTAAGCTTGGAGTAAATTTAAATGAAAACTTTATACACCAAGAAGAGTGGCTTCGGGAAAGAATAAGGCCCGAAGATGATACTCGGTGTTAGAAAAGAATAGTGACTGTCTGTTGAACGTTGTGCTTCCTTTGACAACAACGATTTAAACGTTCGAGCTGCTTACAAAGCTACTTCTCGATTTTCATAAAAATAAAAAAAAAATTCGACGAGAATTGACCTTATTTACATTCAAATGTAGCAATTTTTTAGGCTAAACTGTGAAAGATCTATTTCCTTTAAAACTCATTTTTTATTAAGGGGAAAGGCTTTTCGTGACGCGGTACGTAGAGTCACATTTTTCACCCTCTTTTACCATTCATCATACTATTCTCAGGTTAACATTCATTGTATTATTCTTTAGAACTTTATTTTTTAGCTCGTATTTGTTTGTATAACTTAACAGTTATCTTTTACATGCGTGACCTAGGTATCCGCTTAAAGCCGTGGTAAACGGGTCCACACTCTGTCTAACATCATTAGCACAGCAAAAAGTTATTAAAGTGTTTCCGTTAGGTTGAGGACAAGCAACATTGTACGCCGCTTTGACTAAAGCGGGATCCACCCTAGAGAGTACTAGCGACGAATTATAGCATGTCGCAGTTTGAAAGTATCAAAAAACCTCATCCATAATACCGACTCTACGGACAACGGACACGAAATCTCGGCCCCAGAGAGTAATTTCATATAAACTTAACCTCTTTATTACGGATACTACTGTGATCAGGTGCCGATCCCGAATCCCGATCAGGTGAATCTGCACAGGGTGAATCTCGTTTTTGACCCTCTTTTACCATTCTTTGTATTATTCTTTAAAACAATGTTTGTCAGCTTTTTTAACTTAAGAATCATCTTGTACATGTGTGACCTTTGTACCCACTTAAAATCGTACCGTAAAAAAATAAGGGGTCGGCAATCTTTCCAACATCACTAAAAGGAAATTAAATCGTATTTTGTCAGTTTGATTACAAGCAATATTGTACGCCGATTCGACTTAAGCAGGACCCATTTTCTTTTCGAAGAATCATAGCATGTCTCATTTTGTTAGTATTAAAAGTTCATGTCTTTAAAAAAAGTGTTTTTTTGAAAGAAAACCTATTTTTTGACATGATAGAGTAGGTTTAGGTCAATAATTAAGCACAACTAACGTTTTGGAAACCTGTTCACCACCGGAGTTAAGCTTTCTAAAGAGCTTTAACAGAACTGACTATCGATTGTATCGGTGATAATAAAATTCAAAACACCCTTCATAGAAGAGGGGTGGCTTCAGAGAAGAGTAAGTCCGGCCGAAGATGATAACTGGTAGTAAAAAAGATTATAATAAGATTCCAACACCCTTTTATTTTTCATTTTTTGATTAACGTTTACACATATTTTCGTGAAACTTTTTATCACATAAAACGAGAAGGTAAGACGTCCTTTTTTGGCTTCATAAGCCATTGAAAAGTTGTTTTGGTCAGTTTGCCAACGGCAAGAAAATCTACATCGACTCAAGTTTGCACCCAAAATCAGATATTCATTATTTGAAAAGGTTCTTTTGAAGGAGAGACTGCATCCATGACATCTACTAAGTTACTATGGGTATTTCACTTCATTCTGCTGCCTAAGTAGGTGACAGCGCTGTTTTATTTTTATTCCGTCATTGAGATCAGAGCCAACAGGGGTTAATAAGGCGGCGCAGTGAGTAGAAGGAGTCTTTATAACATCAGTGGCTTTCTTACGAGTGACTGCAAATAAAACCGTACAGAGTTGGCGAAGACGGCTTAGGGCACGTTTTGGTTACCTTTTTCTTTGGCCGAAAGTCGAGACAGCTGACTAAAACTGAGGAAAAGCGTAACAATTAAATTAGCCCAGGTAATACTGAAAGCATCAACAGCTGTGGCACCAGGTTCTCGATGCCATGAAACTAAACTATCAGACTTGGCATTAAGCCTTGATGCAATAAAAAGTAGATTACATGAACGAAGGTCAAGCCTGCCTTAGGTCATTAACTTTTGAGACCACTCCAAGTAAGATGGATCAAGTAAGGTCTACGGCCAATGGTCTCAATCATCCATAAACCCGTCACAAAACCACTTTCTGATAAACAATGGGACCAAGAGGCAATTCTAAAGGATAAATCCAGATTGGTAACGGGAGAATGATTTTAGCCATTGCTGCACCATGGTGGCTCGGTGACAGATTTGCACGTTAACTACACCACGGATACGAAATACTGCAAAATCACCATTCAGAAACTAAAAGAACAGCTCATATCACTAAAAATTTTAGGTTTTTTCGTGTAATGCGTGATAAAATAGTTTGTGGGTCCTAGAGAGTCGATTATATACGATTTTAAAACGTGGTATTCCACAGTGCTATGAATTGCCCTCTATTACAACGTTCCCCATGGTATTGTACCCTATTTTTGACTGCTTTCTTAAGTGCCATATTGGATGGCTAGGTCCGGTCCCGGTCCCAAGCCTCCTCGGGTCTTCCCGTCCCGTTGGAAACGGGGCCTCGTTCTGGTGTGTTTCGTTGACAACCAAAATGGCGGACGAACTTAACAGAAAAAGACCAAAATAACAGGAAGGAAATGGTCGAGTCTTTTAACGTTACTGCTGCGTTTCATTCGCAGCTTAACACTTTATGCATTAGAGAATTCCCTTGTGGATATGGAAGTTGGGTTAGATGAAACTCTGTCTTTGTACGATGGGTGTAATCGTATTAAGTTTTTAAAAGTTTAATATGTGTTCATCTGAACCAGACTGATCATTTTACATCCATATCAAACGCAAAATATCGGGTTTTGTGTTTATTTTAGAGAGCCCCCAATGTGAGCAGTAATTTAAGCTTAAAAAGTACCACAGAAGTAAAAAGTATGGGTACCTTGAAACCTGCCAAGTCGACATCAACTTTACCTGCAATAATTCCAGGTGAGCAAAACAAAATGATACTTTATAATCGTTATTATTATCGGAAATAATATTAATAGTTAATAATAATGATTTGAAATTTAATCAGAATGAACTGCAATGGAAGAAAACAAAGCAAAAATATGATGTCATTTTACTACTACAACCAGAATCCTTCAAGAGTTTGCATCCTTGTGCAAAATAAGGCTTTTGTTATTCAAACCCTGCTGGGATAACCAAATTTGAATGTGCAAGGAAAATCAAAAAGGATTCTGGTCATAGTAGTAAAATGCCGCCATCTTGCAAATGGCCAATTCTGCCAGGATATGTTCTACAACATTGTTATATGGGAGAATCTCTCCTTGAATTAAGCTATGTCTACAATATAATACTGGGTAGCTCTAACGCTGGCACAAAAAATGAAAAGCTGTTTTGGAAAGGGCTCTTCTCACACATGAAAATGGTGATTTTGGCCCAGTTTCTGTAAATATGGAAGAAAGATGCCTCAACCCCAGGGGGGGGTACACCAGATTTGAAGTGACAGGGATGATCAAAGGAGTTTTGGGGGTTTGAAATTTTTGATTTTGGTTTGAAAATTTTGATTTTTTTTTGTTGGGGGGGTAGCATGATTTGGGGGATAGTTCAATATGAAGACGCACACCCAGCCGTGTAGCTCTGTGAATAACGTAAACCAAGAGAGGAAATTTTTATGGCTCAGAAATTCAGCATGGGGTTTTTGGGGGTTAAATTTTGGTCCAGGGATTTTATTGGGTTTTATTTGAAGTTCTAGGGATTTGTTTGGGTTTTGGAGTTTTGCCCCCATTCGATCATCTCTGTCACTTGAAATCCAGAGAACCCCCCTGGGGCCTCAACACATCAATCTTGAAAGTGAATCGTTACCTATCAGATTGATTTCTATGCCACTGAACAGGTCTTGATACTATACCGGGTAATATTATACACTTAATGTCAGATCCCAAGGAAAACAGTTAGTTTTGTTTTCCCGAGAGTCCTGATGTTTCCCGAGACGAAGTCGAGGGAAACATTGGGACTCGAAGATACATTTGATTTTAGTCAAGGCCACGTGACCAAGAATCAACCAATGGCAGTCCCTGTTTAGTTGAGTGAAATTCTAGGAATATAACAATACATATTGATATAACAAGCTATCTGGTAACAGAGAACCTCTGTATGGGTACCCGCAGACATAGATTTCATGGTGTGTTTTCCATCAAATCATCGGTTCTTCTGGTGAAATCATCGCACATCAAGAATAATTTTTGTTTTGCATGGTGGCAAGCTCAGCACAACCATAACAATGACAGAAATGAGAAATAAAATCTGAGTTTGAAAATCTGCTCGAGACTTCATGGTAAAAATCTCTGCTCTCTTAAAGGTAAAGAAGACTTCAAGATAAACACTCTGAGATTTCAAGATCAATCAAAATTTCTGGAGAACATTGATTTTTTTGACTGCATTCACCACTTCTGTTTTTGATAATAATATTTTTATCTTTTTATATGTTTATTCAGTACAGTATTTTGGCGCTAGTGTCAGAGTGCCCATGCAAGCTTGGTTTAAGACAAAAAGTTAAAGTTTGCTGTGTTTTGCAGAGAATAGTGCACAGTTAGAGACTGTTGAAAGTCTACAAGCTTTGGCTATAAAGATCCCATATGACGTGGACTGCAGTTGGAGTAGTGAAGCTGCAAGCCTGCGAGAGATTGCTGTGAAGTCACCTGACAAACTCACGCAAAATTTCATTCTGAAGTTCTTTAAATCACTTCAAATTGTAGACAAAAAGGTAAACTGATAAAGAAAGAAAGGCTGAGTTTGTTCAGTTTCTATGTAGTGGTTTTTAGGTTAATATTAGCTGTGGGAAAACCTTTGGGGCTTGGGGGTTATATAAGGGGTTAAATGTGAGAATTCAAAGCTTGTTTTATGAATCTTATGAGTCAATGAGTTGTAAGGCAACTTATAAGTCTTGTTAGGGTTGAAGTTAGAGGTTGGGTTAAAGGTTAGGTTTAGGGTTAGGGTTGGGTGACTCATGAATCAATGATGCTAAACTTAAATTCTCATTTAAGATAGGATAAAAAACCTGAGGTATGGATCAATATGTGTTGGATTATTAATTTTAGCATAGGAAGTCTGATTTTATATAGTCTTCTTGTATTAATTATTAGTTTGGCTTTACAATTTATTTTCAATCAGGTAACAGAAATTGATGATGGACTTCTTCACCTGAAAAATCTAAAGCAACTGACACTGAGTGCAAATCTAATCAAGCATGTTGACTCCAAGAGACTTCCAAAAGACCTAGAGGTACTGGTAATTTAAAGTTAAGCTTAAAAAAAATACTTCAGCAATTCTTTTTTGTCTAAGTCGACTAAAATTATTTGCTTGTTGTTTTACTTGACAGGAACTGGAACTTGCAGCCAATCAAATTTCAGACATCAGTTCATTATGTGTTTGTCCCCCACCTCTCATCCATTTAGGCCTGAGCTACAATCAAATTTCTTCCATCACAGGCCACATGAAGGCAAGTTCATGGTAAGTCATACTTTCAAGTTCATGCTGACTCAATCAAATATTCAAGGAATCTCAAAAAAAGAAATGGCATTAAAAATCTACCCTTTTTCACAAAAGAAAAAAAAATTATTTCACTAAATTATTCATGCTTATGATAAGCAAAAAGTAAAACCATTTAATAATCCTATAATTTCCTCCTTTTCTTTTTCAGGCCTCATTTACTATCATTAGACCTAAGCTTCAACAACCTTGCAGATCTCTACAGCACTATCAGTGTACTGAAAACTTTACCAAAATTAAAGAATCTTGTCCTTCAAGGAAATCCTTTGGCAGTGAGTCATCAGAGTTATTTTAGGTTTATGTACCGTTAACTGCATACACCCTTGTCAACCGATAATATTATTCAACAACTGAGCACATGTAACGTCTGCATGCAGACAAAACCTAATTTAGTAGTATATGGTCAAATTAGATTCTTTTTCATTTGTGGGTTAGTATTGCTTCTAAGCTATCTTTTTTATCCAGCTAGTACCAGGCTACCGTGGTTACACAATCGACTCTATTCGTCAGTTGACCATTCTTGATGACATCAGAATTTCAGCAGATGAGAAACACTTCTTCAAAGGACTTTCAAAACTCAAAGGTATTTGATTGTTACCAAGTGTACTTTTAAGTCTATCATTATGATAACTAAAAGTGAGTTTACAACATAATTATCTATTGAGGGTTAATTAATTAATTAATTAATAATTATTATTGTCCCGTCAATAAGAACCATGGGGTATGGATTTTGTTGGTTGGTGAGAGTGCTTATCTTTATGACTTTTTTGATGCTTTGTCTTAGACGTTCCAGTAAATGAAGCTCAGGTTATCATATATATCAAGAGTATTAATGGCATTAAAATGCCAGAAGAGATTGAGGTCAGTAAAATACACAATTTGAACGATTGGAGAACTGACAATTTGACTAACAATAGACAACTGTTTAACTGTGACAACAGACAGATCAAAATGCACCAATTACTGATTACGAGTCTTCATAGCCAATAACATCACGGCTTAACTGACAGATGACCAATAACATTGCAACGTTATTGACCAATCAGATCAATAACCAGAGTATGATAGCATCAACTGACGTGATACAACTCACTTGACTCTGAAGATGACTACCGCACAGATTGCCAAAACATCAGTCACTGTCAACAACAACAGTCCTATTCAGGACTATGTTCACCCGGACGATCAAACTCAACCTACTTTTGAAAATTATGACTCCCGGGTTCAAACCTTTCACTCAATGTGTTTATATTAATTTTCTTAATTTGCTGAGGGGTTTGCAATAATTCAAGTGAGCACATAAAAAAAAACTGAAGTTGCTCAGCTACCCATTGTTGCCCCATCATTGCCCCATCTGGAAGATTGATGAAACTTTAAATTAAGAGGTTAGTTTCAAATGAATGTGTGTGCTGTTTTAGAGGCAAGTAAAGTCCTCAAATTAAATCAAATCAATTTAGCGTCGCCATTTGACTCTATCAATTTGGTTGATAATTCTTTCAACCAAATTGATAGTCAAATAGCCACAGTAAATTGATTTAAAGGCTGATGTCTCAAGCACAAGCTATCCATCAGAGTGAGGTGTCTTTCTGTACAAAACTTTGTCAGTTTGTCTCTTTATAGTACAATGCTATTAAGTTTTTCATGCTACATCATCCACGATGAGCATGGCTTTGGCAAATAGGCCTCATAGTGTACTTCTTTCTTCAGACTACTAACTGTGGCAGAAGTTATCACCCTTAAATACATTGTCCCTTGGAAATATTGAGCTCAAGTACTGCCAGTCAATGTAGCTATGGCATAACTAATACTTTAGCACAAGGTACAACTCATATCACAAGCAAGCAAATGAAAATGTGATGCTGGTGGGGTAAAGGTGAAAAACTTGGAGTACAACGTATAATTGTTCACCTTTGGCAAACATTTGTTGTAAATTATAAGGTTAATTTGATGTACTCTTATTTCACAGGATCCAGAGATAAACTCTGATTTCCCCAAGACTGAGCACAAGTACCATGTGGAGTTCCAGTTCCTCAAGGCGGCACCCACTGTAATATTGTGTGAATCTCCCGCTCTGTCAATACCGACTATCTCTTTCGTACCAGATGACAGCAGCAGCATTGCTCAAGAGGAAAACACTGACAATAGTCAGAGCAGTGACAATTCAGGTCAGTTGCTTTAGTCCAAATGTTAATTAGAAAACAATACGCAGGAATTTAGTCAGCTAAACAAGGTGGCACTTAAAATATGGTGAGACCAAAACAGCTAAGTCCAGATGCTGGCGGTGGTTAAATTTAAAGAGACATTGTCACCATGTGACCACTTTTAAGTTTCTTGCCTGCTAGTGACATTCCGGAGTACTTCCGGTCAACGCCTAAACAACAAGGGGAAGAAAACTGCCCCCATGGGGCTTGATCTTTCATACAACTTTCAAGATCTTAAAAATTCTTCCAGATCAGTATCCCTCAGGAGTGTATGTAGTTAAAGGACATCTTGAGTAGCAGCATCAATATGGTGCAAAAGCTGGCTAATTATAAAATGAATACTAAAAAAATAATTATCAGGGGCTGCTTAGCTTATAATTATTCAACACTATGGTATAAGCATAACATTGTGTCCTCCTACATTTTGGGCTTTCTACTTTTCTCTGGCATCCCCTTCTTTCAAACTCAAAGGTAGTGACAGTGACTGCAGGAAGTTTGCTATATATATTTACATGATTAGGTAGCTGCTGGAAATACCCTGTACCCCAAATCTATGTTAACAGATCATAGGCAAGCTTTAAGCACTACTCATAACAGAAACCTGTCATATACAATGAACATACTGTACATACTTCCTCAGTAAACTATACATTGTTACATGTACGTATGGTAAGGTATAATATTATTATTTGTGTTAGTAGAAAAAACAAAACATTAATGCTGTCTTAAGAGAATACATTACATTGGTGTATGTACAGTATCACTATAAAATGAAACACTTTATCTGTGGTGAAGTTAAAAGTGACTTTGAATAATAAAAGCGGTGTTAAAAGGGATTAAATCATTTTTAATAAAAGTGATCATTCTTTACAGGACATTTTCAAACAGTATCAA